GTGTGTGTGTGTGTGTGTGTGTGTGTGTGTGTGTGTGTGTGTGTGTGTGTGTGTGTGTTCTCATATTCGCTGTACACAACTCCGCAAAGAAAAGCATGACTATGCCAGACTGTTTCATTGGACTTTCAGTGACTCATCAGGAGGTTGAACTCCTTATTGCCCCTATAAAAAAAGGGGTAAGTACGTTCATGTCACCTTTGAGTATCGAATGGGCAAAAAAACACTCGTCGACAAAAAAACCTGCGCGAAATTCGAAAAGGCAATGGAAGTACCAACTGCCGTGGTGTCAGACCGGATGTCATATTTACAGGGGTCGGTTATGGTGTCAGAGGGGGGAAAAAAAAACAAAAAAGCCCAATGGATACTTTTGGACCGCAATCGCTCATTTTGAGTTGGTGTGTGGTTTCGTTGCCGGCGCGAGTTTTTTTTGCCTTTAGGGTTTCAAAACATGCCGCGTCCGCAGTTATTTCAAAAAACAAAGATTTAGCGATAACCCGGAGAGAAGTGGTAGACTGTACTACCACGTTTCTCACACCAAACCTGCAAACCTTGCAGACTGTCGGTCCAAAACGGTTACTGTGACAAGAATGGCAGTACACACCAACTCAGTCATGGATACCCAGAGGCATGATCGCTAGTATAGTCCCTATAATAGCTACATTAATCCACCTGAGCAAAGAGCTTAGCAAGGCTGCCGTGTTGTGTAATGTCATGTTCACTATAAACAACTCCACACAAAAGTGTGACTGTGCCGCACTGTTTCATTGGACGTTCACCTAGGAGGTTGAACCCCAGCAGTCTGCCCAGGATGCATTTGACTGGTGGATAAGGACTGGCAACATCGCCCAGAGTTAGCAATACCCCCGAGGAAAAAGGTAGACTTTACTCACACTGGTAGACTATCGGTCCAAACCCCTGAGAATGAAAGGCCTTCCATGATTCAGACCCCAAATTCGAGTTTCAGGGTCAGAGGCCTGGGGCAAGAAAGGCCATGTCGGTCAGTTTCAGAAAAGTCACAGTCGAAAGCAGTCAAAGTCCAACAGGCACCCGACAAACAGTCACGTCTCAGGGGTAAAATCACGTCTCATAATGAAAAGTCATGTTGGAAAGTCTCATCCCATGAGCAAAGGACACTTCCACAGGCAAGAGTCGTGTCCCAGAGGCAGGAGTCACAATCCACAGTCAAAAACCATGTGCCACAATCGAAAACTCGTGACTCAAAGGCCCAAGCAGCAGCACACCAATGAAAATTCGGGAAAGGTACCAGGCCCTGACATTCGAAAGCAAACAGGCTGTGAGGATGTGGTACGGGAACGAGGTCAAGCCCCAAGAAGCAGAGGCTGGCACGAGTTGAAGCTCAGATCCAGACAATATTAGGACTGGCCAGCCTCCTCATTCGGCAGATTGCTCATTCGCATGAGGTGTGGAAGTGCTGGTGCACTTGTGCGCTATTGTGAGGGGCAGCACTGAGCCAGAGAGCTGCGCTGTTAGAGGGAGAGAGAGAGAGAGATGGTAGACTGCGGCCAAACAGTCGAGGCAGCCATAGCAACACACAATCGAAGTTCAATCTTACACGATTAAGCTCAAAAAACGAGTGTGAATTCCATATGCAAAACTGCGCAGAGAGCAACATGTAGTACCCCTCTACGGGTTTCACCCGCCCACACGGGATCTTCAGGAGGGTGACTCTGATGAGCAGAGTCTTCGTGCTCGAAAAGGGAGGCTCCAGGCCTTGTCTCCCATGTCTTATAGTATCGTACTCCCACACACGGTCCTCTGACTCACTGCTGTACCAAACAGGTTTCACAATCCAGCTAAGAAAGTAACAAGGTGTCCGCCTGTCAAGACTCGGACCATCGTTTCATCAACTAAGATAATCCCTTGCAGACCCGAGCTGTATCTACCCTACTTCGCGTCCCCCTACTATGAACACTTCCGAAAATAGTTCCTACAAACAGGCCGTCGCAACAGTGGGTCAAAAGCTCTTCGTTCATCCTCCGGGCCTGTCGGTCCACTCGAAAACTAAAAACCCGACTGGGCCCCACGGAGATCTAAGATAACACGAAAAGACATGAAAACAAAACCTGAATTGAAGTCATTCAAAAATTCAAAAATGCGAAAAGCAAAAACCCGATGACACCGGTGGCGATCTTCTACTGGATAGCCGGGACTGTGCTCGATCTTCAAGGCCTGGCTGTATCAAACCCCGAGCTTTGGTCCAGTACCTGCCTGCCTTTTCCTCCTTCCCCAATCCGCGGTAAAAGAGCAGGCTGTCAGCAAGCTTCTCAGTGCTCTACAAGGCACAGCCTTGGCCAAAGCGGCCAGGACTCCGAGAGAGACCTCTGGGGGTTAGCCCCCGAGGTCTGCTTCACAGATAGCAAATCCAATTGCACCAATAACAAGCTCCTTGCTCGTAGCCTGTTCCCACAGTCTCTTAACTGTAGCCGTCAGAACCGCCTTCTTCGCACACTTTGCTGAGTAAGAACTATAGTCCTGTATGGTCTGGAAAAGGAGCTTCCCCTCCTCACTTCCCCTCCTCATAGAGGGAATCAGTGTTCTTCGTACTGGGCACAAAATGCAGTTGAAGCAGTGAACTGCAGATCAAGAATGTACCTCCCACGAATTGCCACGTGGATCCGCATTCGTCTTTGCGAATAACTTCCAAGTGCTCATCATAAATGCTCTCGAAAGCTTCGAATAAGTTATCCGGATAGCGCTTGTTGCGTATCTTCTCAGCAACCCCCGCGATGATGGTGATATCGTCCATAATCCGCCATCTTCCCTTTGGGATGCCGAACACCTGCTTCAACAGTTTACCCCCACATCTCACCATGGAGAATTCTAAATCATAGCCCACTCCCATCAAGATCTGCATCAGTGACAAGTTCACATATCCATCTAGCTGCCTCTTGTTACTGCTGATGATGCACAACTTTCCTCTCCGTGATACTACTTGTTTGCAACCCTTGTCCTAATATATCCTCAAAAGCTGGTGTACAGCATTCATAACCGCGTCGTGCGGGATGCGGGAAAACATCTCCTTGATGTCATAGCATCTCCCAATTGCCCGCTTACAGCCTGCAGCCCTGAACTGTTGCAAGCCCCCTTCCAGCCTCTCCGGAAGCTCAGAAACCGAGTTCAGATAAAAGATGCTGCCTGCTGGTAGTCATTTGAGCATCTGGTGCAGCGCCCTAGCCACCCGCCGTTGAGCTAGTGACGCGGGATCCACAGGTGCCGGTGCTATCGTTCGCCAGCCTGCCAAGTCCTTGTGCTTGGGTATAACATACGCCATTCCCAGGCGACCATCCGGTCTCCAAGCTCCGATCGCCGCCAGTCCTCTCTTCCCGAACTCATCCTTACTCTCCTTGAGGACAGCCTCTTCATTCTCGAGTGCACCGACCTGCACGTAATTCGGGTTCCAAGCAAACGTCTTCCTGAACCCATGTCGGTAAAGTACCGGGCACATCACAGCCGTGTCACCCTGATTCCGGTCGATTGGAGCAAGTACCAGCCCTTCAAACCTCCCCTTCCAGGTCCTGATCCCCTCATCGGTCCAGGCAGTAGTAGCATGGCATTGTTCCATCAGCACATCACCCGGTTTCACCACCGGAGTCGTGGCCCTCTTCAAATGCTTAGTGGCAAGAAAAATCGCCTCAGCGATCTTGTCAGAGCCATGAGTTAGAGCTGGTCTAGTGATGTTCTTGGAGTTCCGGACAAAGTCTGTTACTTCTAATTCCGAAAACCGTGTGAGCACATGTCCACCTCGCTTCGGTAAGTCCTTTCCCCTGCATGCGCAAGGGTGCTCCACCTCGCTTGCGTACCTCTTCTGGTTATGTAATAGTTCAGCTAAACTCCGATTCCTGAGCCAAAGAATCCGGATCCTAGTCTTGACAAAATCTGCCAAAATCTTCTCGTCAATTGCCAAGTCTACGACCCGTTCGGTGCTCCTTCGTATCCCCACCTTCTTCAGATGTGTATCATACGGGATCTTAACATTCACCCTCTTCCTCACGCTAACTCCGGTCCTACTGGCAATCACCCTATCCAGTTTCGTGCGTAGTCGGTGCTTAGTTTGCTTGTCAGTGAACAGCCCTGCCGTCCTGTACAGCCCAATGAGCTTCTTGATGTGCAGAGGTCTCAGTCGTGAGTCTGGTTTCGGTCTTCTCAGTAGATTCACGAGCCAAGCTCTGTTCCGCTCAGTGGTGGATTTCGATCTCACAACTTGCAAAATACGGACTTCACCACCTTGTTGCAGAATGGCCTTCGCATTCCTCAGAAGTATCTCTATTCCTCCGATCAGGAGAGTGGAATCCCCGTCTTTTCGTTTCAAAGATCTCCACCCATCGGTCCATACCCCGGCTCCAACGAACTGCACCAGCCTATCCCCTCCCTTCTGTCCGGCGAGCCAGTTCATAATCGAGGTGACATTCACCCCCCGGTCGTTCAAGGAGACGATCCCACTGGTATCTCCCAGTCGCCTTCTCCCCCTTGTCTCACGTCTCCCTCTTCTATCTCTGAATTTAGCTATCTTTTCCTTCTTACCAATATCCCTAGTATTCAGACTCGGGCTAAAAGCCTTAATAATATGTTCCTCAAAAGTATAGTTGTTCGTGCTATTCGCGTGCCTGATTGGTATAATGACATATCTATCGAGACCAGTGCTTGTCCGAGTGCATCGTTGGAAGTGTTCCTACAGTGCTCTCTCCACTGTTGGATCATCGGCCTGACGGTACACCCGATGTAGGTCTTATTTGTCCACGGGCTGACTATCGTGTACACCCCTCCTGACTCTAAGCTGAGGGTATCTTTCAAGTTATGCGCCTTGGAAAGATATTTCGACAGCCAAGGAATCTGCGCTCCTGGATGGTTAGAAGAAGCGTCGTAGTAGAGATCGAGGCCTCAACCTTCCTGGTCCCCTTCCCCCGTAACACCGTTCTCTGAATAATCCTCGTAATCAGCTTCTCCTTCAGCTCGGCGTTAGACGGGGTGGGGAATTGTCGATCAGAGTCGTCAGTTGGCTGGCCACGAGCTGAGCGGATAATAATAGGTACAACCTTCGGTAGGGACTTCTCCATTGCGATCTTGTCCTTCGTGAACACTTTGCTTGGAGATCCTGATGCCTTGGTCTTGTGTGTCGCAGCCATGTTGTCCTGCGTTTCTTCAAAACCGTCATAAGCCAGTTGGACTTGTTGTTTGGCTAACATCTCCACAACTTCCGGCTTCGTGGTGTATTTCACCCCCTTTTTTTCGCATAGTTTACGAAGCACGTTGGCTTTCTTGGCTGAGTAGATCTTATGCGCCGATATACAGTACTCAATGAGCCCCTTCTGTGAGCAGCCAGCCGCTAGGCCTTTAAAAACCCCTGCCAGAGGAGTTCTTGGTTCGCCACCCGAGTTCTTCTCCGTTTCCAGAGGATCGTCAACACTTTCATTCGTCATCTTACGTTGCTTCGAACACTCGCCTCGTTCGAATACCCTTGGTAGCGGGTCAGCCACATCTGTCTTGCCTTTTTTCTTCAAACGCTTCCGCGTACCCCTCGAGCGGTAGTCCCCGTGTCTTCGGTCTCGACCATAGGTCGTCAGAGTTAGACTCCGAGGTGGTATCTCCAGAGGTCTCATCTTCCGAAGTATCGTCACTTTCAGTCGCATCGCTAGTTACCTCCCTTGTCTTCTTCTTATATCGTCCCTTGTGCCGCTTCCCGATGTTCTTCCGAGGAGCTACGTGCTTCTTCTTTCTTCCGAGTTTCTTGGTACCATCCATCATAGCGTTGGCAGTCGCGTTGTTCTTCCTCCATTCCTCCAAAAGCTCATTTCTTAGCTGTAGTTTGAATTCCTCCGCCTTCCTGGCAAAGTCCTGGTTTCTCCTGATGTCGTCCTCCTCCCTGGCCTTCCTCTCCACCTCCAACTTCCGCCTCTCCTCCATTTCTTGTCTCTCCTTCCTTACTTGTCTGAAGTGCTCCTTCATTTCCTCCAGTTCGGGGTCCCCCTGAGCTGGTTCAAATCCTCTTCCCCTTTTGGACCAGCAGTCCCGTGCAAAATGTCCAGGTTTTCCGCAGTTATAACATCCATTATTCCCTCCCCCTCCACCACCTCTGCTACCACCTCCACCTCCACCTCCGTAACCTGCAGCGTTCCTGTAGTTCTGTCCCGCTCCCTCATTAAAAGTGGGTCCGTTAGTAGTATTGTTCTGTCCGCCCCCGCTAGGGCCGTTAGTGAGGAACATGGCGGTATGGTCGCGACGCCCTTAGATACCATCGCTTCTCTACTTGGATCGCTCACCCACCACCCGCGATATATTTAGTAGGACATCCCCCGCACAAGCATTGAATACTATCGTTTTACGAAATGTAAGATAAGATGCCCCCCAAGCTCGGTCAGTATCGGCATTCCCCCCGTAGTTATCTACCCCTGACTACAACTCCCAGTCCCCAAAATTAAGACAAGTTACCTCCAACAGGCAAAGTCTAACCTCAGCTTAAAGCGAACACTACTCACGCCAGATCTCGACGATCTCTCCATAGCGTACTCTACGCCTGGTGCGCAGCACCAGTTATGTCGTTTCAATCTTAATAAGAAGGCTCATCAAGTGGTCATAGAGTGTTATCCTCAAGACTTAGTTCTCATTCACGACGAATCCAATCATGACATCCATAGGTTCCACGGTTTCTCTAACGTACTCCTCGAGTGCTTGGATTAGTCTCGCTCGTACAATGGTCCGCCTTCTACTGCCCCCGTTGCTCCCTCCGCATCTGTCACAAGGTGACGCCGTCGTAACTAGAAGATGGAGCCCAACACCATGAAACCTACCCAGATGATAATTACTCCTAACCCGTACAGTATCCCTTGTACCGCACTACCCCCTTTCTTCATCTTCACCAGCCCTCGCGCAGGCAGACGCCCTACACCTAGCACCCCCACATGTCCGTATAGCGGAGCACGAAGGAAAAAACCGTAGTGTTGTCATTCAAATTTGTTGAAGCCGTCATCGAGTCGTGTCGAGCTCGTATCTTCCGCTGTGACTCACCTCATAAATATGGAGAAAAGTCACCCCACAAGTTGACGCAGCCACCGCCCAGCGCATGCAAGCTAACGGTTACTACGAGCCCACAAGATGGTAGATTGTGGCCAAACAGTCGAGGCAGCCATAGCAACACACAATCGAAGTTCAATCTTACACGAGTAAGCTCAAAAAACGAGTGTGAATTCCATATGCAAAATTGCGCAGAGAGCAACATGTAGTACCCCTCTACCAGTTTCACCCGCCCACACGTGATCTTCAGGAGGGTGACTCTGACGAGCAGAGTCTTCGTGCTCGAAAAGGGAGGCTCCAGGCCTTGCCTCCCATGTCTTACAGTATCGTACTCCCGCATGCGGTCCTCTCACTCACTGCTGTACCAAACAGGTTTCACAATCCAGCTAAGAAAAGTAACAAGGTGTCCGTCTGTCAAGACTCGGACCATCGTTTCGTCAACTAAGGTAATCCCTTGCAGACCCGAGCTGTATCTACCCTACTTCGCGTCCCCCTACGATGAACACTTTTGAAATAGTTCCTACAAACGGGCCGTCGCAACAGGGAGTCAAAAGCTCTTCGTTCATCCTCCGGGCCTGTCGGTCGACTCGAAAACTAAAAACCCGACTGGGCCCCACAGAGATCTAAAATAACACGAAAAGACACGAGAACAAAACCCGAATTGAAGTCGTTCAAAAATTCAAAAATGCGAAAAGCAAAAGCCCGATCGCACCGGTCACGATCTTCCACTGGATAGCCAATTTTGTGCTCGATCTTCAAGGCCTGGCTGTATCAAACCCCGAGCTTTGGTCCAGTACCCGCCTGCCTTTTCCTCCTTCCCCAATCCGCGGTAAAAGAGCAGGTTGTCAGCAAGCTTCTCAGTGCTCTACAAGGCACAGCCTTGGCCAAAGCGGCCAGGGCTCAGAGAGAGAGAGAGAGAGAGAGAGAGAGAGAGAGAGAGAGAGAGAGAGAGAGAGAGAGAGAGAGAGAGAGAGAGAAGCCATAGCTGCCCAGCACTTGCAGAGGGAAGGCAGACATAGAGAGGCCAGTGCTAGTAGTCAGTAGAAGACTTCAGAAGGGTTAGTAGAGTTAGCAGTGGGTGTATCCAGAGTTGGTCCTTGAGAAGTAGGGAGTGTGAGTGCATACAAATAGGGACAGAAGATACAGAAAGGTAGTAGATAGTGAGAAGACCGAGAGAGAAGAGAAAAGAGTATTAGGAGAAATACGTACCAGAGTGAAGATACTGGTTACTTGAGTTAGCGTTGTTGAGTGTATGTGAATGGAACTCATAATTGCTTATATGATAATTTGTTGGAATTTTAAAGTTGCGCTACCTGGTGTTCATCTCTCTGGCCTCCAGTGTGAACTTTTTGTGATCTCATTCATGCATGTTGTGTGATTGTGTGCGCTCAGTGGTGTTGAACTGAGAGGTTCGTTTCAAACTGGTATCGGAGCAACAACTCGCTGCATCCGTTGGACATCACGGGCAACGATTAAGGTCGGTGAGAAGGGGAGCTATGAGAGAGAGTTGAGTGGGGAGAAGTCTGACGAAGGGGGGAGGTAGGCTGAAGAAGAAGTAGCTTGGTGAGTGGTGATTACATACCTGCTGCTGCGTTGGAGCGGCCGTGGAGCTTCATCAATGGAATGTTCACTGAAGTGAAGTGCATCCCCCCATCAGACCTGTATTGAGTTGTCTTGGTGGTTGGTACCTCCCTCACCTCTGGTGTCGTTGTTGTTGGGCTGGTCCAAGTTGTCACATATTCGATTTGCCTAGAGTCTAGCAACCAGTCTGCTCATTAAAAAGAAAAAGTATATATATATATATGATTTTTTGGATTTTATCTATACTATATGTATATTTTGTCTATAAAGGTTCATACTAATTATGAAGAATTGACAAAGTTGTCTTGGATTTTTCGACATCTCAATCGTATATCACCATTTCATCGATTCATAGAAAAAGGCTTGCTAGAAGAACTCTCATTGAATTGCTTTCTTTTCTACATACAATCCACCGACTTGTAAAACTAGAAGAATCTTTATTTTTGTATATTGATTATTTATGAAATAAGATAGTATGTAAAGTGAAGTAATTTGTCATTCTTGATGGAATCGCCCTTTCATGTCATCAGATTATATATATATATATATGTATATATATCGTCACAAACAGAACTGCCCGGTAAACCGTAGGCAGAGAGAGAGAAGAGGACAACAAACGAGGGGCTGTGACAAATATATATATATATATATATTATATTATATATATATATAGTTTTGGGAAGGTATTCGACAATCAGCCACAGTCAGACCCACTCGAAAGTTAGTAGTTAGTGGTAGGGGTAGGTCTAAGTGGTGAGGAGGCGGAGGGTAATTACATGTGCCTTTCATCACCATGTATGACTACCCCATGTTCGCACTTTTGTCCCTGTCTGTGTTATGGGGACCTCTTCTTTGCTTTATTTTTCCTCTTGGGTTCCGGCGAACCCTCTTCTCACATGCAGCGCTAAGCTCTGGTAAGTCAACACATGCACTGGCAGCTGAAGAACAGGCAGAGATAGACTGCCACCTGGCAGAAAAGAAGAAAGACAAGGAGGAAAAGAAAAGGAAGGAGGAGAAAGTGAAGAAGAAGTTACTAGAAGAAAAAGAAAAGATGGAGAAGGAGATGAAGGAGAAGGAGAGGAAGTCGATGGAAGAATTCAAAGAAGAAGAAGAAGAAGAAGAAGAAGAAGAAGAAGAAGATGAGGGGGGAAAGTTGGAAAGAATGAGAATCCAGCCGAAAGAAGAAGGGGCTGAGAGCAATCGGGCAGGGGCGATTCGTATGCGACAGCTGGAGGCACTGAACTGGATGAAGCAGTTTGGTTACCGGACAGAGTTCCCAAGAGAGATGGAGGAGGAGAAAAATGCTTTTATTATAAGGCTGGCCTCAGCAACGGATGAGGCAAAGAAAAATTTACTGCTAGAGGAGAAGAAAGCAGAATTAATAATAAGATGGTGGTGATAAAAAGGCAGGAGTATAATGAAAAGAAAAAATTGAAAGAGAGGGGGGAGAGGTTGCGGAAGTTGTTGCAGGAACAAAAAGGAAAACAGGTGGCCACAAATGAACGGCTCTCCCTCCTTACAGATACTCTCCTCCATACTAACAATGAACTTGCCGCACTCCACCGAACTGTTAATCGAATAGAGTTGCACCAAGGGGAATTCAAAGGCGTCTGGAATAACTTCATGCACAGTGTCTCATAACAAATTGATCATCGCATATTTGAGTATGTTGACCAATTAGATAAAGCCCTCTACAAAAGGTTAACCAACTGTGTCGTAGTAAGGAACCTAAAGATTGGAGGCGGTGGAGGAGATGGAGGCGATGATGGTGATGATGGGGACAAAAAAGGAAAGGGTCCCAAGAAGGAGAAAGACAGTGAAGTGGAGGAGTCCAGGCAAAAGATGAAGGTGATGTTTCCTTGGACTTATACGGGGAAGAAAGAAGAGAGTATATTCCATTGGGAAGTTGTGATGGATACTTATTTGTACGTGCAGAAGATCCCGCATTGGGACCGCGTGCTAATGGCTAGTTCGTGTTTAGCGGGTGATGCGATGAGTTTTGCCATCTCCCTGATGAAGGAGAGTGGCTGCACAACCATGGTCCTATATTCACAACACACACGGATCGAGGACTTCTTTAAAGCCCTTAGAGAAAAATTCGAAGATAAGAATCGGACCCGCAAGACTGAGTCTTTGATCCTAAACATTGGTGATCGTAAGTGGAAGAGTGTGTCAACACTTAAAGCCATTATGGATGAACTCTTGCAGTGCCCGGACCATGGACTGACACCCACACAAATTTTGAACAATTTTGCCAGGACACTCTCAGATCCATTGAGATCCCAACTTTATCCCCGCACTAAAGAAGGAGGAATGACTTATGAAAAGTTCAACAAGAGCGCAGTTGATCATGCTGGCTTTCTGCAAGAAGCACAATACTGCCATTATTGGAAAGATCTCCAGGCAGGGAAAAAATGGAGAGATCGCACGATCTCAGGGAACACAGTTGGGAAAGACGATCTTCTAGTCACCTTCGAAGGAGGGGTAGAATCACTCACCTATGACCAAATAGATTACGGCTTAGAAGAAGACACAATAGTCATTTAGCCCAGGGAGGGGACTATGCGGCTGTTGCAGCCCGCAGGGGAGGACGACAAGGAGGAAGAGGCCGTGGAAGAGGAAGAGGAGGCCGCGACCGAGGTAGAGGAAGAGGATACAATAATTGGCGACCGTATCCACCCCATCCCGGGATCGCTGT